TTTATCATGATCCCTTGAAAAATACCTGTGTTGCTTCTTTAGTAATTGCAGTCAGCAGGGTATGCCAAATATAATGGAGAGTTACAGTATTAGAGATGGGTTTTCAATGACCACTCAATGTCATCATTTGCATACAGTCTATTGTCCCCATCTTTGTTATTACAATGTTTTGGCCATTGTACCCTCTGGTCTTCATCAGCTATTTGATGATCTGGCTAACCGACAAAGCATCCACAATGATATTGTCAACATCAAATTTTCTGAATTAATCTTTAGCATATTTATGTAATCCTGTAACTTGAGAGAGAGAAAGAGTGTGCATATATACATATATGTGTGTGTATATATATATATATATATATACACACATACACACACAGAATATAACATATGAATCATTCAACTGAGATATAATTCAGTCAAACATAGGCTAAGCTTTTCAGACAGAGCCTCATAGTGTAAATATTACATTTTTGGGTTCTTACTAAAAATGTGCCAAGTGCTACCACAACTTGAAACAAGGTGAATGGTACTAATTAAAAATCAACTTCTTGAGGACTAACAGATCAAATGTGTAGAGTTTGCACCAAGTACTGATCAGTAAATAAAATGTTTTGATCAAATGTTGGCCAGATTAAAAAGTAAGTCAAACTACAAAATATAGCATTGAGTGATGCAAACATGAACAACATTTAATATATTTAAAATTTCAAACTTATTATTTAGTCAATTGGTGTCATATACTTTTGATATTCTGTTCATGCAATGAAACAATGCCAAGTAAATATAAGTATAGATATTTCCCCATGTATATAATTAATTGAAATAATAGCATTTCTTGACCGAGTGGAACGTCTGTTTTGTACACTAAGAAGAAGAAAGACGTACAGACAAGGATATCAAGTCATTATGTCAATCAAGTTAAGCAAGACCACAATACAGTATTTATACAATCAGTCTGTGTCCTACTCTCTCACCCTCATCACTTACACAACACCCACCCACTGTCACATCCTTCCTCCCCAAATTTAAAATCTTGAATCATAACACATTTTTTGACTCATAAAATTACAAATCATTTCTTCCTTCCATCATTTGATTTTTCTCTTGCCTTTGCATTTTTTGAAACCATTTTGTCAAACATGGTGGTGGTGGTGGTTGCAGCAGCAGCAGCCTTTGGTGTTTCCTGGTGCATTGCAGGGATGTCAGGAGATGAGGAGTGAATGAGTTTAAATTCAAATTCCTATTTGATTCGTTGGATACTGATCCCTTTATTCAGTGGACGGGAAATTTGGTCGAGACAGATCAGATAATCAACAAAACAAGGAAATGGACACATCTTCCTCAACCACACACATTTTGTAAAAAACTAAAAAAAATGAGGTGTTCCTCACTTTCACATTTTAATGTATTAGCTGACACACATTTTTTTTTTTTTTAAATTTACTGATAGTTCACCTACGACAAGACCCACTCAAGGTAGATGGCTAGTGAGATTGTAAGGGAGGAGATGTAAGAGAATATTATAAGAATGGATAGGATAGATATCATTTGACCCTGGACTTAGAGATCAAGATTGTAGTTGTTAAGGAAGTATTTTCTCAGAAGTTCAACAAAATAACAGTTCTGAAGAAGAAGCTGTCTGAATAGAAATTGCTTTTTATCAAAGAACATAGAAGGAATGATGATGGTTTGCCACATGGCATGGTGGGTCATAGATGTGAGGGCTGAGTTGGTGGCACTAAGGAATGTATGTATCTATTATACATATAGCAATATGAGTAATGCCTGCCTTAATTCCTGACCACTGACAATACTTTTTTCCTCATTTTCAATACTTATTGACAGGAAAATCATGTACATGCATTTACATTATAATTGCTATATTTTGTTGTTAAGACTTGCATTTATTCCTGACCATTGTAAATCCTTTTCTTCCTGATTTTCAATACACTTCTGTTGTATGACCAGAAACAATTACATGATCTACATGCTAACTCTGTTTGTAACGTTTGCTTTAATAGCAGCAAATAAAATTTAGTGGTTGAATCACCATGTTCCACTGTTAAGCACTATAATGTTTATAGTAATTTTCATTCATAACCCAGTAAATAACATTAAATTTCTAAAGATTTTTCTTTAAGGGTCAATATATGCCCTGAGTACCATTTATGTACCCCTCTACAGTGGATATTTTGGATAAGTTTTCAAGAAGAACATATATACATTTCATATAATCAACATTTTAAAGCAGTAATATATTCATTAAATTGTTTGGAGAAATTTGGCATCTGTTTTGAAAGTTTTTACATATTTGTTTAATATATCCTACCATGTGACATCATAAAAGTCAATTATATTAAATTTGTAATTTAGTGTCTTTTATATAAAATTAAAATTATTAGCTGATTTTAGTGTGGTACAAGGTTTGATTAATTCCTGTCAAATTTGAATATTGGACTAATAATGTTTTTATTGTTACTGCCTTAGCAAATAGCTATCAATAGCTTTGTCCAGATATCTGGAAATGGAACAGACTGTAGGGAGAAATAGATTCATGCCTTTTCCTATTAGCATTTATGTTAAGGATTTTGGTAGGAATTTAAACAGCATTCATTTATTTTCTTTACCATAGTGTTAACTCTTATGATATACTTAAACCTCACTATATATATATATATATATATATATATATATATATATATATATATATGAGTGATTTTGTTTATTTCAAGATGATGTTTTAAAAGATGAGTCAAATTCCAATACTGTTGAAAATTCTTTTCTCTTATAGGTAATAACTAGTGGCTTCATTTGGAAATCAAGTGACAACAAGTTCACTTAATATTCCAACATTCTCCTTAGTATCCATGTTGATTTAGTAAATTCTATTTTCTAGATGGTTATATTTTTTCATGGTTTTCCAATTCTTTTTCCACAGATCTTTGGGTTTTTTCCCAAATGTTCTGATAATAAGCAGAACTGTTGCTTTCAAGTTCCACATTTTTTACTTCTTTTGCCAAATTTTGATATTTTTGCACATCAGAAAAAAAAAACTTTTAACAAAAACATAGTATGGTAAATTTTTTGAATACTTTATAAGTATTAAAATCTCTCATATATATATATATATATATATATATATATATACACATTTTAAAGATCAGGAGATATTTTTAAAGTTAAAAGCTCTACATGTTATTTTTACTTTTATTTTTTTTTTCACACCTGTATCGAGCACTTTTTAATACCACTGTTTCCTGGTCCAATTCAACTTGGACCATTAACCTTATATATATATATGTGTGTGTGTGTGTGTGTGTGTGTGAGAGAGAGGAAGATTATATATAAATTCTATTTATCAGACTAAAGTTGGGTAACTGAATGGCAAAATGAAGAAAGACCTATGTATCTAGGGCACTTTGATGTAGTGTAATGGTTAGCAAATTTGTTTTGCTAGACCAATTACAATCAAAATTTAGCTAAGTCTGTCAGGCAACAGATTTATTGATCCACTCTCTCCCTAGATACATACATATATATATATATATATATATATATATATATATATATATATATATGAGAGAGAGACAGACAGACATAGAGAGAGTAGCATACTCTTTTATCAGATTTTATTATGCAAGTCAATGTTTTTAGAATAAAATTGTTTTTAACCAACCAATTCTGGTGACATTTTCAGAATAGATTTATATAAGCATTATATGAATTTCAGCTTCTAATATTTGCCCTTATTAAAAATATTAATAACTTGTTTAATTGGTTTCAGTTTGTCTATATTAAAAGAAAAATGAAATAACAATTTTCAAATGTTTATTTCCAAATATATCCCTAAGGTGTAAGCCATAGAAATATCTTTTGATTAACAAAATTATCCCAAAAAACTGATTAAATTATTAAAATGAGCTCCCTGACATTCTATAATCTTCTTCAGTCCTGCATTCATTGATTTTGGTTAACTTTTTTAATGTTTTGGTTTTAACATTACTTGTAGCAATTTTAACTTTTTTTTAATATTGCTCTCTATTCTCATAACAGTTCAACATGCAAATTACAAAGCGGAAATACTAAAATCAAACAAGTACAATTTAAATATCTGGGAAGCGTTTTAACACAGAACAGAAAGTGGCACTGATATCTGAAGGCACATTGCGATAGTCAAAGATGCATTCCAAAAGCTCAGCAAAGTATTAAGAAACAGGAAAATTTAATTGGAAACAAAGAAAAAAGTACTGAATTATTATATAATATCAGTCCTGTATGGCAGTGAAGACGAGACAAAGCAACAGAAATATTCTTCTACAGAAGGATGCTGAGAATACCATGGAGAGAACATGCGAGCTACAACAAAGTTTTAGAGAAAATAGAAACAAAACAGACCCTTATACTTAACATGAGAAAGAGGCAGTTGAAATTTCTAGGGCATATAATGAGGAAAGAAGAGCAAGAAAATTTGAAGAGGACAGATTGACGACATGCGGGACAGAGAACAACGTATAACCTACATAGTGAGATTGAGTAAATGGATGACAGAACAAAGTTTAAGAGAGATAACAAAAAGATTAAATTTATTAAGAGCTAAAAAAGGACAGGAAATTGTGGAGAGCCATTTATTGCCAATATGCTAAAGGGACACTGCACACAGAAGAATGACGGACTAAAAAGTTTTTTTTATTGGATTAATAAGAGACCGATTGATTGATTCATTTTCTATGACCTATCAACCTATTGCAGGTTATTTAAAGCCAGAAACTATTTTCAGTTTGTAAGAATTTGGGACAGGGGATAATGATTTAGTGTTACAAGTCTTACTAATTATCTCATAGCTAGTTGGGGGGGGAGGGAGAGAAAGTGGATTCATAACTTCCCAAAGATCATTTGCATGAAAATGAATTTACTGAACCCAAAGGGAATTGGAATTCAGCTCTCCGATTAATAATTCCAAGTCATTATCCAATACACCATTCACACATCCACACTTATAGCACGTGGTATTCCCAAGTGGTCACTCATCTAGGTACTGACCAGTCTTGACACTGCTTAACCTCGATGATCATAGAGGAACTGGTGTTTCAATGTGATGTGGCCATAAGCCAGTAATAAAAAAGCTGAGAGGTTTTTTTCATTATTTTGGTGTCTTTGTGCAAGATGGGCAATAGCAAAATGTGAATGTTTTATATGAATATATATTTCCCTTAATGCTTTTTGGTTGTAGCCTGCTTAATTAAAAAGAAAAAAAATGGATCTTTTCCAAGAACTTCAAATAATTCTCTGCATTTATCTTGATCCCATCATCAGTTTTATAATTCTACAGCTTATAAATGGTAATGCTAATATTAGCCTACTATTTCATATATATATATATATATATATATACACATACATAATTATCATTACTACCATACAATGCTGGCCCAGAACATTACTCCACCTCCCCACTGTTGTCATCTTTTTTACAAAAGGGCCCAACCTGTAGAGCCTAGTCATCAGGTTCATCCAATGTAGCTCTAAATTCATCAAATCACTGTTGGGAAATCAATATTTTTTTGCTCAACATCTCTTTGTGATGTTTACTTATGTGTGATATTTTGATAGTGTTATGGTCCGGTTTCTTGTACCACAGTGATAGTCCAAGGTAGAACCAATAAAGAACAATGCGAACACAGGTATGGAATAACACAGGTATATTACAAACAGGAATATATACAGAGAAGTAAAAGTGTTAGTATGAACAATCAGGTTTAGTAGAGAGAACAATGTAGTCTCGACCAGTATCACTATTCCAATGTCTTGCAGTAATTGTCTGAAGGCGACTCTGTTTCGGACTGCCTCTGACTCGACTCTTGACTCGACTTGAACTACTGACTGACTCCTTGCCTACTCTTGAGGCACAGTATTTATTAAGTATGGAATAGTCCATTATGGGTAAGATCCCATAACAGATAGTTTTCATATCTATGTTCTTAACATTCTGCATTCTTTATTTCAATAAAGCCACTCAGTAACCCTTGTGTCTTAGTGACTTTATTGCTTTGCTATTGAAATGATTAAAAAAAAAAAAAAAAAATTCTTTTCTGTTTAAAGAACATCAACTAATTTCAAATATTTTCTTGATGGTCACTTCACCTTTGCTCATTAATACACTTTTAATTTGTCTCCTTATCTTTTTGTAACATTCTTACAAAAAGAATATTTTTGCTCTTGTCAATGTTTTCACTTTTTATTGTTTTGCGTAACTTTTTGCACACTTTCCAAAGTTGTGTACATATCACTCAATAACTTTATTATCTCTTCTTTCTCTTTTGAAGTTTAACTGTCTTAGATTCATCGTAATCTTTCTATAACTAAAAGTAAAAAAATAAGTACTAATAATTATGCTATTATACATATCTACAATATGGCGATCAACATACAAGTTGCATAAAATCTATCATCATCAAATAAGTGTCAATATTTCTAATAGAAAATATAAGCTGAAATTCATGTTTATATAAGTATTATTTAAGTAAGTATTATATAAGTATATCCTGAAATTTTATCAACATCAGTTGCTTTATTCCAATTTATCATCAGAACATTGAGTTGCATAATAAAATCTGATGGTAGCCTCACACATGGAGGTGGATATGTGGATGCATAATCACAAAGCAAATTCTGAAATAACAAAGTTCTAAGGCTTTTCTTCTTTACTCTGGGGGTAAGTAAATGTAAAAAACAGAGTCTAACCTCAGGGAATATAAGTAAAATGCACATTTGAACTAAACCTCAGAGAATTTGCATATCACACTGCATAAAGACCAAAATAGCAACATGCCTATCTTGATATGAGTCTCTCTGTGTGTGTGTTAAAGTTAAATATGTCCACTAGAATAAAGCATTGTTTCTTTGCCTTATTATTCAAATTACTTTGTATCTTTCTTTTGCCTCCTTCGTTTCTTAAATTTATCTTTCTTTCTCTCACTCTTCTCTCACATTTTTCTTGTTTAAGCCTTACAGTCTTTTTTTTAAATATCCTTTATACTTCCTTTCTTTCCTCTTCCTTATTCAGTAAGGTGATCAGGCAGATATCTAAAAGTTCAGGATACAAGTTCAAATCCCATCAAAGATGATTCATGTTACTTACTTAATGATCAGAAACTGTCAAAATCATAAAGTGATAAAAAGAAAATGACATAACGGCAATGCATAATTTCAGAAACAAGATGCAAACAAGCATCAAAAATCAAATGAAAGAAAAATTTGTAAAAAATTTGTTATAACAAAGCTTCATCCTGAAGTTATTTTCAACATTTATTCACAATGTTTTGTTTTTTTTAATTGAAATGAGGTACCTGAGAGAAAATAAACACTTTAGCTTTCCAATTTTTGCCAAATAATAATAATGATGATGGACATTAGTAGTAGTAATATCGAAATCTGTTTGCATGAAAATTGAGTTTTGTTTCAAACAACAAAAAAGATGAAAGCAGAGATAAAATAACAACTTACATCCTTTCCCACCTTATCTTTATTATTTGTTTCTTTTTTTAATCTGTTCAGATTTAAAAACAAGTCTTGGCAGAAATTTAGGTTCAAGTATTACAGAAAATGATAACAGGTTATGCAGTGTCCAGCAAATGAGATGCTAGTTGCAGAAATCATTAATAATATAAATTGAGTTTGAACCTTAATGGGTGTTCCATTTGACCTCAAGACACAAGACAAAAAACAAACACCTATGGACAACTCATTGTGGAACAATGATAAGCAATCCATTTCCACAAACTATTACTACAGTGTGAAGTTGATACGCAATGAGTACAATACACTAATGACATCATGTCATATAAAGTTAAGACCTTTGAAAAAACATTAATAGGATAAAGAAAAAATGCTTTTTAATTCTTTGTTTCATATGAAAATTATCATTCCACATGGACTCTATACTGGGAGAAGACTGTAGAATAGATTGGCTGAAATACTGTGAAATCAACGAACATCACAGAATCAGTTTCAGTGTTTATAGTAAAACAAGTTTTTTTTTTTCTTTTAATTGGTAATAATCTCCAGGTTTTGTAGAAAACTGTATTTCAACAGATTCATTCTGCAATTCTTGTATTGTTACATATTTTAACCATTTCAAGGCAGAAGTGGTGTATAAAAACAATGAACATTCTGAAAGTCATTCTTCTTATTATATTGATCCATAATGTCAGAAGTGGATGTAGAGGTTAAACTTTCCTGCTAAGAAACCATACTTTTCCATGCTTTGTTCCAGTAGCTGTTTGGTAAAATATTACCTGACATGAAAGTCTATCAGGAATTATTCTATGTAGTAAAAATTTGTACCTATGAGAATTGCTGAATGTTTACAGAAACCAAAGCAGTGGATGTGAGCACACTAAGGTGGTGGGTAATGCATTTCAGTAGAGGGGATGAAAAGTTACAAATATTAAAGTAACAGCCAATATAAACCCCTCTAACAATTTCAGGAAAAGCTCCCCAGAAAGCGAAATCCAGTTCAGTTATACAACCTACTAGCTAAATTGAAAAAGTTCACTTGTAGAGGTGAGGTGGGCAGGTTCCATAATTTAGCTAAAGGAAAGTTCACAAGCACCTCCTCTTTTTATTTTTTTTCATATTTTTTTTAATAATCTGAAAAATTATATATGAAATTTGGAGAACACATTTTAATAATGAAAGATGCTCCACACTGAGTAAGGCAATGTGCCAATTGTTCACTGGTTTCAAACCACAGAAACTTCTTGATTTATACATTCTCAATCCCTTTATGCCACTTATTTTGATCCATAATCATTTTTCTGTAAGAGATTTTAATGATTTCACTCTCTCAAAGGAGGAGACTGCAGTCAGTGACACAGATAATACCCTAGGATCAGTTTTACCTGTTGTCAGTTCAAAAAACAATGTGGAAATGAAAACTGCTCTGTCAACTACTTCACACATGGAAATTTTCTAAGTACTTTGAACTACATATCTTATTCTGTTCCACCAGATCAGAGAAGATTTCCCCTTAGTCTGCAATAAGAAGAATTATATAACTTCCTTGACTATCTGCATCCATATAATAGTTCTTCTTTAGATTAAAGAGTGTTTTCTTTTCCTTTTCTGTTTATTTTGACTCTTTTTGTATAGCTTTTATGGGATCCACCTGAATTGGTACTATATTGTCCAAGATACATCTTCAAATTAATACAGGTAAGGTCAACTCTACACTATTTGAAATCTTTAATATTTTTTTTTTTTACCCACTTTGAAAATCATATTAATTTTTTCACTTCCTGATCATCTATATGTAAAACTAATATGTCTAACAGGGAACCAGTTATATAAAACCAGTAAAACATTCTTGGATTGATCTTTGACAGAACACTATTATTTTCAATCATGACTGATATGATTTTTATTCTAACAATGAAAAGAAGCATCACTTCATCCATATTTGGATCCCTTGTCCAGTTTCTATATTCCACTGGAATTTGCTTCTCTTGGCCATTTAATGTAAACCTTTCTGTCCATAGTCTGTCCTTGCAGAAATGCAGTTTGGATCTATAGAATCTAATTTCCATTGACATTGAGCCACAACTGCATATTAGTCAAAAAGATTCATGAGCAAAGATTGGTGATTCTTTTTTAATATTCACATTAAATTCTTCAAGTCCCCTTGCAAGTCTTGCTTTTCGCATAATTCTCTTCAGAGTAGATTTTAAGATACACATGCAATAAGAAGATAGACATTTTTTTACTAGGATTTTCTACTACAGTGAAAACATTTTTGGGGGGATCTGTCAAGTTCTTTTGATTTAATATCATCAAACTGAACATTATTATTATGAAATTATTTTCATTCATAGTCAGAAATTGATTCAATCACATTAAGACAACTGACATCACTTGAATTTATAGATATTTTTTCACCTTCCAGATTTGTTGAATTTATTCTTTGAATGTTGTACCAATTTTTGTTTCTCACAGTTGCTTCACAATTGACTCATAATTTTTGCATTAATGCAATCCTTGTTTTCATTTTTATTATAACTGATAATATAAACTAGTTTTGTAGTAACTGTAGAATCCATAATTGGGTCAGT